TCCTTGCCCACGTCCATCCTTAATGTGAGAACCCTTACCTATTTAACATTGTTGTTGTCAGGTCCGTAGTCCCAGATGAGAAAAGTGAAATGATTGTGTTAGGTAGTCGACAACTAGCGTAAACTTATTGAATAATCATGACATTAATCATTTAAAAAAATTGTGTTAATGCTAAGACACCCCTGTAAGCAATACATTGTATAACCTAAATACAACGACAAGTGTTCAAGGGCTGCTGCACCGGCGCCCGGGTGCAGTGTTAAATAAGCTAAGGATTCCCACATTAAGGATGAATGTGGATAAAGAAGCTAGTGCATGAAATTAAAATTAGGATATAGACTTGGAATATAGGTTCCCTTACAGAACAATTAATGAAATTAGTATATATTATGATTTATAGGAAGATAAATATTTTGTGCATTTAGAAAACTAAATGAGTTGGATTGAATGCTAAGGAGATTGATAGTTTATTATTTAAACTATGGTATTCGGGTATGAGTCGTACTAGAAATGATGTAAGTATGATTATAGATAAGAGTTTGAAGGCTAATGTTATAAAAATTAATATAATTAATTATATAATTATAGTTTTAAATATTATTGTTGATACTAAGATTGTTAATAATATAAATATTTATGCTCCTCAAGTAGGTTTGAATATGAGTTAAAATATTAAAATTTTGGAATGCCTTAGAATAATTAATACAATAGATATCTCTTGAAGAAAGAGTTTTTATTTGAGTAGATTTAAATGATCATGTTGGTAGATAGGTAAATAATTTTAAAAATATTTATGGTGGTCATGGATTTGGAATGACAAATAAAGTTGGTAAAATCATATTAAATTTTTCCTTAGCTAATAAATTTTTAATTGGTAATACCTTATTTAAAAAAAAAGAGACAAGCATCTGATCATCATAATTGTTAATACCTTATTTAAGAAAAGAGATGAGCATCTCATCAGTTATAAAAATGGATATAGTAAAACTCAGATTGATTATTTTCTTATTAAAAAATTAGATCGTTTAGAATGTTGCAAAGGATATGCTTTGTGATTCAAAATGAAAAGCTCTTATTAATAAAAATAATTGGTTGTGGAATCAAAATGTGTAAGAAAATATAAAAAATAAGAAGCTTTGAATTTTTATCAGCGTATTAGTAAACCAAAGTTAGAGAGGTTTTAAAGAAAATGAAGTGTGAAAAAACTAGTATATATATATATATATAATGAGATAAGAGTAGTAAGGATTAAGTTCAAATGAAGTGTATTAAGGATGAATATAAAAAAAGTAATTTTCTTATAATATGATAATCAACAAAGGTGGATGAGATATTTTGTTAAACTTTTTAATGAAGAATGTAAAAATACAATTGATTTTTGTGATCTTAGCACCCTAAATGAAAATAAAGATTTATATTTTTATTGACGTATTAATAAAATCGAAGTTATAGAGGCTTTAAAGAAAATGAAATGTGGAAAAGCTATTGGACCTGATGATAGTCCAATAGAGGTTTGGAAATGCTTAGGAGATGAAAGACTTTCTTAGCTTAGGAGATGAAAGACTTTCTTAGCTTACTAAACTTTTTAATACTGTTTTTAAGACTAAAAAGATGTTAGATGAGTGGAGAATGAGTGTGTTAATTCTTATTTTTAAGAATAAAGGTGATGCATAAGATTGTGCAAATTATACAGGAATTAAGTTAATATGTCATACTTTAAAACTATCGGAGCGAGTTATGGAGCGTAGGTTGCGGCGTGATACTAATGTTTCTCAAAATCAATTTGGATTCATTCTAGTTAGGTTGCAACTATGGAAGCCATACATTTAGGAGGACCTACATTTGATATTTATTGATTTAGAGAAAGCATATGATAAAGTTCCAAGAGAAGTGCTATGAAGAGTTTCTGAAAAGAAAGGTGTTAATAATGCTTATATTCAAATCATTAAAGACATGTATATAGGAGCTATTACTTGTGTTCAAATATAAGGTGGTTTGGCCAAGTGTTTTCCTATTTCGGTTGGATTACATCAAGAATCAGCCTTAAGCCCATATCTTTTTGCTTTAGTCATGGATGTTCTCACTAAACATTTACTAGAGGATGTACCTTGGTGTATGCTTTTTGCTGATGATATTCTTCTTGTTGATAAGACTAGAGAGGGAGTTGAAGGTAAACTTGAACTATGGATGTTAACCTTATAGTCAAAATGTTTTCGCTTGAGTAGATCTAAACCGAATATAAGAAGTGTAATTTTAATAGTAATAGACCTAATGAGGGGATTATGACTTTGGGCGATCAAGTCATTAATAAGAGTACACATTTTAGATGTTTTGAATCTATTATTCATAGTGATGATGAAATAGATGGGGATGTTATCAACAGAATTCAAGTTGGATAATTGAAGTGGAGGAATGTATTGGGCTTGTTGTGTGATAGAAATGTTCCCCTCAAACTTAAGGAAAAATTCTATAAGATGGTGGTGATACCTGCAATGCTTTATGGTGCCAAATGTTGGCCATTAAAAGAGAGGAGTAATACTAAGTTAAGTGTTGTAGAGATGAGGATGCTCATGTGGATGAGTGGCTTTACCCTTAGAGATAGGATACAAACTGAGCATATATGTGAAATGGTTGGAGTAGCTCTAGTGGAAGATAAGATTAGAAAGAGTCGCCTTATATGATTTTGACACATAAAATGGCGGTCTTCCGATGACACGGCTAGGAAAGTAGATGTATTAGAGGTAGACCTAAAAAGACTTGGTTAGAAAATATTAGAAATGGTCTTTCTTTATTAGATTTAAACTAGAATTTGACTTTTAACATGGCACAATGAAAAAAGAATATGTGTAGCGGACCCCATGTAGTGGGAAAAAGGCTTGATGTTGTTATTGTTATAGGATTCAAATATCAAATAAATTTTTATTGAACTTATAATTCAACAAATTTATAAAATTTTAAATAATATTTTACTGGATAGATTTTAATTTTGATTGAAATTTATTTGAACAAAATTTGATTGTGGTGAACAAAAAGATTATTTGTGATTTATAGAAGAATGTTGATGAGGACATCAGAGATCAATGACTACGATCTTGAGTCTATTTATTTATGTGTTTTATTTTATTTTGTTGCTTTTCCCTTTTTACCTTTATGGGTGGCCATGTAGTGTTGTAGCCTGAAGGGCATTTTAGTCGTTTCATCTTTTCTTTTCATGAGGCCTATTTATAGGCTAGTTTCTTGTAATTTGGGGATGATAAATTATTGATAATGAAAATTTTATGTTCTTGTTGACCTTTTAGTGAGTTCATGTTGATCTCTTAGTGAGTTCATGAGGGGAGAAGCCCGATGAAGGTGATTTGCAGTACCCGTCAATCTTGGTGGATTTCAAGGTTCGCGGTTCTCTTATCTTTATTTTTTTTCCTTGCATCAAATTTCCTCCCGAAACTTCCTACCTGACGGTCACCACTTTCCCCTTTCCCCTCCCAAACCGAGAGCCCAACCCACCCATCTATTTCCCGCTGACCACCTCCTCAACTCAGCCAAACCGTCGGAAAAATAAAGGGGTTTCCCTGCACGTCACCTCCTCCCAGCTCCCCACTCGCCGGCCTCCATTCGCCCTCCCATTGAACCATTCAATTGATCTTCAATAGTTTCCTATTCGGGATTAGTCTATAATTGGAAAGATTTGACATCAAATTCAAATTAATTTGAATTTCAAACTCTTAGGAAACTTCCCCCTTTTTCCTCCAATCTGAAATTAATATCAGATTTTGGGAATTAAAGTCACTAATTACATGGGGCCCACTCCCTTAATCTCCCTCCCTCTCTCCTTAGCCGGGCACCTAGCCACCCATCCCCTTGCATTAAATTCTCTAATTGGAGCTAATCTAGGAATCCAATTAATTAAATCCTTAAACCCATTTCCCTCCCAAATTCTTTTGATTTCACATTCAAATTTAATCCCATTTAGGCAACCATTAAAACCCTTCTCAAAACCTTCCCACCCCAATGATGTCGCCGGCCCATCTTCTCTCCCCAATCTAATTTTCTCCATTTAATTCTCCAACATAATGTCCCTAATCTCACCACAATTTCAGCCGCCACATTCCCCTATCCCTAGCCGAATTAATCACCCCTTCAAACAGAACCTAGCCACCAGGAACCGGATCCAATATGCTGTCTAGCCATTCTGACCCAGGAAAGACTATCCAGAAAACTTCCAACTAGCAACTTAGCCACCACGTCACTCCCGTCTACTAACTAGCAACCCTCCAAGAGCAGCCTAGGATTTACTAGGCACTACAAGTTGTCGTTCAAGCTACCCTAAGCATCAAGATTGATGGCCAAGACTTGCATGACTACTGTCCTAAACATATTTTTGCATCTAGAGAGGACTCCACCTATTGTCTTGAAGTCCAGAAACAGGAAATTGCTGTCATATATTCTTGGAATCCTCGTTTTGTTGTTTTGGAGGCCTCCAATCCCATTCCAGCCAATCCAGCCGAAGGTTTTCTCTGCTCAGGAGTCCTAATCGCAACCACATATCTTCTCTCTTTGGGTAAAGCTCTTTCTCCGACTCTTTTATCTTCGTAGTTACTCCTTAATTGTGGTCTTAATAGAGTCATGAAGATAGTGTTGATACTCCTCCGCTAAAACCTTAGTGATCTAGTGAGTAGAGTGAGGGGTCCTTGCATAGCAACTATTATCATTGTTAATTTAGGGGTTTATTGTTGAAACCATTCATGTATGCAACGTTAGATTGACTTGATTGTTTTATGATCTTAACTCTTACGCGTGTGATTCAGCCTAAGCTTATTTTATCGCTCTTAGTGTTTTCTTTTGTCGTTAGAAAATTCATTGTAAAGATATGATTATTATGACTTCTAACACTTAAGCGTGCAAATTCTTCAAGTAATTCAACCTTACATGATCGTTCTACATCAAAAGTTTTGAGTTGAAGAAATTTTTTTAATATATTTCTTAAGAAAGAAAAAAGGCGTATTTCTTGGATTTTTCCTCCGGGTCATTCACAGGAGAAATAGACTTTCGAATCAGCTGCAGGCGACGGTAGTCACCGCAACCTAGATTTTGTGATTGCTGAAGAGGAAGAAGCGATCCTTCGCCGCCGAACGATGGAATCCACGGCGAGGAGTGGTGGGCGCGGTCTCTGGGAATCTCTGTACCGTGTGCTCATGCGCCGGAACTCCGTCTACGTCACCTTCGTTGTCGCCGGAGCTTTCGCGGGAGAACGGGTACCTTCGTCCTTTCCATTGTATCATTTCCGTTTGTCTATCCTGCGGAAATAGTTATTTGGGATCGTATATGACTTTACTGTTTTATGTTCGTCTCGACATCTCGTATAGGGTTTTCGCATAGCAATTTGATGCGTATTTCATTTGAGGCTATTGAAAAATGACACTGAACATTGGGGGTGGGATTTTACTTGAGGGTTCATTGGATTAGGGAATGATTTTGTCAGATATTTAATAGTTCTTCCACCTTCTTCATGGCTAGAATCGTGCATCCGGCTTATCTTACATTTGATGTTCAGGGTGTCAATCCGAGGTCATATTCAACCCTGGTACTGGTTTGAGTGCGACTGATTTGAACCTTGAACAAAATTTCTTGGCCTTTACAGTGCTTTGGCTCGGCTTATACCTCACAAACCAAGCAGTGCAATTCTCTGGATCGCTTTTGCTTACGTTAACTCGTTTACACCACCCTGATTTGTTGATACTGATATATGTCTGATTTCCGAAGTCCTTAAACCAATACAAAATGGCATAAGATTTGTGATTGATATCTAAGATTTTTGTCTGATGGCTAATCCTTTGAATAACCAATGTTTCACAGATCATTGGTTTTACTTCTTTTTCCTGGATCATTTTACTTTTCCATACTAACAAATGAAAGATCTCCATGTTTTAAGATCACCGTTACAAATTTCTTTGACATATTTAGAAATCTTGCATAATGTTCTTTTTTTTTTGTCATTTTTTTTTTCAATGTGCCAGCATTTTAATATATGCAGCTAACTTATGTATATTTGCATTTTATCTCAGATTGTAGACTATGGTGTCCACAAGCTTTGGGAGTACAATAATGTTGGGGTAAGATCTTAATTAATTAAAATTTTCTACTTTTTATTTATTAGTTGCACATGTTTTGTAAATAATTGTTTATGAAGATATTTTGTTTATCACAATTGATGAATCAAACTTATGAGCCATATAATGAAGTTATGAAAGAGTGAAGCACATGTTTAGAAAAATTATGTCAATTTTGATGAACTGATTTGAGTTCATGTTAGAAAGATCTATTGTAAGAGCTATTTGTGCCAAGACAATTAATGCAAATGTACATATAAAATAAGTGATCTTTTTATGATTTTTATTGAAATCATGAATGAATATCTTCGAGTATCGCTAGAATTGATATGTCAAATGTATGTTGACATTATTAAAATTTTGTATGATGGATCACTGATTAGTAGTAGAAGTACTTCTAGAGTGGCTCAATAGTTTCCAGTTACAGTAAGTTTATATGAATGATAAATATTTAGTTCATATATTTTGTATTGGCTATGGAATTACTTATATGTACAAGGATATAACTTCTAAAATTAAGATTGAATAGTCAAAACGAAGAAGTGTCTTAGGATTATCATGCGATTAGAGAATATCATGTATAAAGTAAATGCAATAAAACCACAATTAAACTATTGATGTTCCATGGATCGAGTGTTAGTTAGCACAAATTAATTGAATTTAAGTTGAGTGTGATATAGATGAGAATGTTAAGATGGATATGCAACAAAACTTAGAAGGATAAATTAAGAAATGATTATATTAGGGGAGCGGTTGGAGTGACATCTTTAGAAGATTTATAATTAAAAATAGGTTTATGTGGTTTAAACTTATACATTGATTGGTAAAAAAAGCACAAATTAGAGGAGCATATAGAATTAATGTCAGATGATTAGAAAGGAGATGGGGTGAACCTAAGGTAACATGGATGAAAGTTGTTCAAAATGATTTGTGATGAATAGGCATGACACCTCAAACAACACACTAATAGGAGGACTGGAAAACGAGGATTCACAAAACTGACCTTAGATAGTTCGGATAGTGCTAATGATGTTTCGTAGATAATCGAACTCTTTTATTTTTATCTGTAGCATTTTTTTTAGGCAATTTAGATTTTATAAGCCATGTCAGAATTCGTCAGCACAAATAAGAATGCTTATGATTGATTATACTATTGTTTACCTAGAATGAAAAGATGGGCTTCCTCCCATTCTTTTTTCTTAGGGCATCATAAAACTGTAGGAAAAATTCTTAAATTTTGATTTTGCTTGATCTTTGTGACAATTCTTTAACAACCAGTTTCTTCACTTCTATAAGGATGTTGTAAGTTTTTGATATGTCAAGGTGCTTGGATTCTCCAGGCTACATGACATTGTGTCAGATACACTGTGTCGTGATCAATTTACATTTTAACTTGAGTCGCTAGACACCCCATCTTATTCATAACTTTTAAAATGCTCCCAACATGTTTCAAAAAATGACAAAAGTTATGATAGCGTATAGCATATTAGCTATCCTATAGGAAATTTTATCATATATTTTTTTTTGTGTCTACAAACATGCAGTGGTTGTATTTGCATTTTTGTATATGTTTATTTTTTCCTATTTTAGTTGGATTTCATCAAGGATCAGCCTTAAGCCCTTATCGTTTTGCTTTAGTCATGGATGTTCTTACTAGACGTTTGCAAGAGGATGTGCCCTGGTGTATGTTTTTAGCTAATGATATTATTCTTGTTGATAAGTCTATAGAGGGAGTTGAAGGTAAACTCGAATTATGGAAGACAACCCTAGAGTTTAAAGGTTTTCATCTGAGTAGATCTAAAACTGGATACATGTAATGTAATTTTAGTAATAATAGATCTAGTGGAGGGTTTGTGACTTTGAGCGATCAAGTCATTAATAAGTGTACTCGTTTTTGATATCTTGGGCTTATTGTTTAGGGTGATGGTGTAATAGATGGGGATATTATTAGTAGAATTCAAGTTGGATGGTTGAAGTGGAGGAATGCTTCGGGTTTGTTTTGTGATAGAAAATTACCACCAAACTTAATGGAAAATTTTATAAGATGGTGGTGAGACCTGCAATGCTTTATAGAGCAGAATGTTGGCCATTAAAAGAGAAGCATAATATTAGAGACGGGATATATAATGAGCATATCCGTGAAAAGGGTTGAGTAGCTCCAGTAACTGATAAGATTAGAGAGAGTCGCCTTAGATGGTTTGGTCATGTAAAACGGAGGCCTTCCGATGACTCTATTAGGTGCATAGATATATTAGATTTGGCCTATGTTATGAAAGGTAGAGGTAGACCTAAAAATACTTGGTTAGAAAATATTAGAAATAGATAGACCTAAAAAGACTTGGTTAGAAAATATTAGAAATGACCTTTCTTTATTAGGTTTAAATAAGAATTTGACTCTTGACAGGAAACAATGGAGAAAAATGATTCATGTAGCCGAGCCCACGTAGTGCGATAAAGGCTTGATGTTGTTGTTGTTGTATATGCATATTTGTAGATGTGAATGTGCATCTCTATCACCCTCTCCTCTCTCTGTTTGTTTCTTCACACTCTCACTTGCAACCCATATTCTACTGTTGAAGGGTTGCACTGTCCTTATGGTATAATGGTATATGGTATTTTATCTCTATGGATTGTTATAGCAGCTAGTAAGCACAATCATGCATCTAATTTTTGCATTGTGCTTTGCTGAGCTGTGTAGCTTTCTGTAGGACTACAGAAATAAAATTTAATGAATATTTGGATGATAGTATTCATTATGTTAGGCCAATAAATTGGACTAGCATTTAATGGGAATGTTTAATTGATTTTTCTTTATTATGTGGATTTATGGGAAATTTAAGTAAGGCACTAAAGTAAATCTTGTAAAACTTTTTGGATAGATGTGATGTTCATTCAGCAAGCTGCATATGAAAAAAGAGCCAATTATGGTATGGTTACGTAGTGAAAGTAAAATGTAGGAAATTAATAATTTGAGATAAAACACAGGTATCATGAGATAATGATATTGGAAGTGGTACAGGATGCGTATATGGGCCTAAACTTAGTGGATTAGTCGGTTACTGAAGGAGTGAGCTAGCATGGCCTTGGAAATCTGTGTTGGCTTCAAATTTCATCTCATCCCACTTATGCATTGCAAATTGGTTTCACTTCAAATAACTCTCATCATTTAAATTTCTCATGCAAAACTTCAATTTAGTGTCATATGGAAGTTGCAAAAATGAAAAAGCAATGTTTCTGAAATCAATAAAATTAAGTAGTCTGTGTTTGCCTTGGTTAGCACCATTCGTGTCCATTAAAACAATGGAATATTCAAGCGCAATGCCTAGATAAAGCAATCACATCATGGTTGTTTGACAACCAATTAAGCGTAAGGGTAGTTAATAAGCTACTGAACTTATAAACTTTTTGAGGAATGGACCTCATAAGCAACTGATAAAATAAGTTCAATTCATTTAGTTTCTATCAGGTGAAGTGGTCTGAGAATAGCAATTATCAATGGGCTGAAGTGGTCTGAGATTAGCTACTATCAATGGGTTGTAATAATGTGGAACATGCTTAAATTCAAGAATACTAGAGGCGATGTATAGTGAATTTATATTGGAATAAAGGAAAGCTGATCCCTTCCCGAAGATAACTATTTGATATGCAAAAATATGATAGGTTCTTGAGAAGAAGGGGGCACTAATCAGAAGAGATTATATGTTCTTGTAATGAAGTATTAAAAGAAGCAAGCAAGCGTGATAGAAAAAGAGGAAGATTGAGGACAAGAAGAAACGTTCACTGAAATCCAGAAGAGATCTGTTTGCAACTAAAGTAGGACATTTAACATGATCAATTAAAATTTTAAATCATGATACAACTTAAATAAAATCAAGTAGGTCATGTTTCTAGATCGCTACAACATGATTTTTGCAATGATGGGGGCATGGTTTTAGAAAAATTTTAGGGTGGATTAATGTATGGAAGAGTTCTTTAAATAATACCATTTATTTGATTGTGAAAATGTTAAGACTGCCCAAACAAAGTTGTTGTCTCACGCTCAATTGTTTGGGCTAAGCATTTCAAGTAAAATAAAATTAATATGGGCTGGCATGAAATAGTTAAAGGATAAATAGTTACCATTTGATGAATATCAAGATGAATTGCATAATCAATTTTAGAGTTATAAATAAAAAGCTTCTTGCATATAATTGTGCAAGCTTTATACATAATTTGTCTTTAAACTATTTTGTTACTAATATGCTTTATTAACGGTCTTGGGCATCAGTTTAAGAATGAACTAAATTGCATTTCACTGAAGATATCATTTGAGTTTGATTTAGATCTTTGTATATTGCATTCTACAAGGGCTTTTTTCAATTGTGTCAATTCCTGCAAAAAATTTAATAACATTCATCCAAAGCCTATTGAAAACATACAAATACAAGAACCATACAAGTTGAATATGATTCTACTGAAGATACTATAATTCATGAATATTCTCTTAAAGATGTATTAGATGCAAAATATGATTCACAGTTACAATCAGAATATCTATATGACGTTGTTGAATTTGAGTTTGCATCTACAATAGATAATGTTTGTGAAATTGAACTTATAATGGATCAGAGGTTAGGATTGGAATTTGAATGTAAAGGTGAGTTTGAGATCATATATGAACCTTAATTTATAATTGAAATTAAGCAGGTTTCTCGATGTGAAATTTAACTTCTCATGTTTATTTAAGTTGATGAATCAAATGAGCAGCTGTTGATTAATAATCTGATGATATTATTCTTATGATGAATGCTCAAATTGATGTTGACTTTATCTTAGTATAGTGACAAATAAATTCATAGATTGATTATTATGATAACAACTATCAGCTAAATGGTGCTAATATCTCAATTAATTTATTAATACTAAATGTCTTAATGGAAAACTGAAATACAAAATTCTATCATCAATCTAGTCAATTCTATAAGTGCATGATTCATCAAAGTTCATATTTAAATCATTTTTGT